CTCAAGCAAAGATAAAAGACATGCATCATAAATCATGGATGCTTTAGATTAAACCGTCTAGTTGATTTTGAAAAGGTCCATTAAGTGAATGGGAAATGGAGAGTGCTTGCCATCATAATGTCTCTTTTGCTCATTACATGCCACTTTGCAAACACTGCTCTCATGTTTCAGGTCAGCGTGGAGGAGCTGTGCCCTCTAGACTGTGTCCCTCAAGAAAAGAAGAAGAGCGATCAGCTGGAGGTGTATTACCCCCAATACCCCGAGTCTCCCATCTCTCCTTTGCAACAAGAAACCAACACACCAGAACCTCAGGATACCTCAAGAGAAACTGGAGAGGAAGAAGGCGGCGAGAGTGATTCCTCTGGTCTCCAAGTGGAGGAGACGAGTGTACTGACAAACGGGGAGCTCTCGGAGGAGGAAGAGGAGGTGCTTTCAGACAATAAAAGTATCCTACCTTCCTCTGTATTGGACCAGGCAAGCTTGATAGCTGAGCGTTTCATCAGCAGCCTGTCCAGACGGAGCAGTCTGGTTTCAGAGGACTTGGGTTCCCTCGCCTGCCCCTCACCCTCAATAGATAATGACGCCTTCAAAAGCCCCTCGGCTAGCACAGACTTAGAGAAACAGAGCCAAATTTTGGCCACCTCTTCCCCAGAGCCACAGGTGAACTCAGCTGATCTGTCAACACCTGCTCATGAACCTGCACTGAGCACCCTCATTGAAGGGGAACGCAGGTCTACTCTCTCTAAACAAGATCGGCTCCTCATCCACAAGATCAGAAGATACTACGAACACGCTGAGGACCAGGATGCTAACTTTAGCATCAAGCGCAGGGAAAGCCTCTCCTATATCCCAGCGGGTCTGGTCCGGCACCTGAGCCGGCAGCTCAACAGTGGTCCTCAGGAGCAGGCCGTCCCAGTCCACAGGAAAGGCCTCTCTCAGAACCGCCCCACTTCCTGGTCTGTGTTTGACCTTCCTGGCTTAGAGAAGAGTCAAAACACCAACACTCATCAAAAAATTGAACTGCAGAGGCCAGTCGAAGCCAAGGTTAAATCTCCGAGTCTGGCAGATGTTTCTACCACAGAAGAAGAGTTCAGACCCTCATCAGACATGCTCAGTGTTTGGCAAGACATGGAAATGGAGAAGGGGAACCAGGAAGTCCAGCAGACTGCAGAGGAGAAACTAAATGACTCAAGATTAGAAGCAGCACAGGATATCAGCTCACACACTTCAGATGATGAAAAAAGGAAGCAACCGCCTCCGATTGTAGAAGAGTCTGAGACGAGCACTGTCTCCGATGACTCCTCTATCTCATCACCCACCGCAACCTTTCCAGCAGTGGAGGGGGGATCCTGTCAGGACTCTAAGACATGCAGGTCTCCCTCGCCTCAAGAGAAAAGCCATGTCAACCACGGCCAACTACCCAAGATCATTAACTTCCGAACAAGTATGGACGAGGACCAGATCCTACAAGACATGGGAAAGATGAAAAACAAGGTGTTCCAGCTGGCACGTCAGTACAGTCAGCGCATCAAAAATAACAGACCAATAGTCTGGCAGAGGAACCGAGAAACAGCAAATCAGGGCTTCAAGAATATGCCTGCTGTCCAGGAGGAGAAGATGCAATTAAGGAAAAAGGGTAAATAGGATGCAAATGATGCCATGTTGCTTTCTTTTGCAGTAGCCTACCTGTTAAGCTCATTTATGGAGAAAACTGAAAAGCATTTTTTGTATGTTTTGTCTGTTTTCTGTGTATGTATGCAGGTAAACCCAACCTAAGATTGCCATCGAACGCTTGCGATCAGACGCTCATCCAAGAAGAGCATTCTTCAAGCTCAGTCCAGAGCCCCAGCTCTGGAGCCACGTCCCAGAGCCCACTAACCTGCCCACAAAGCCCTCACTCCACAGACACCTCCCACTGGCCTGACGTACAGGAGCTGCGCACCAAATACACAAAGACCTCCCACTTCTCAAAAGTAACCCGCAGCTGCACTGTGCCAAACGGGATGCTGGAGCGCTGTACAAACAGGTGTAATGGCTGCTCACACAAGTACAGTAGCTCCTCTGACCTTCACAAACCTCTGGCAGACTGTCCTAGGACAACAGTAGACAAGGAAAGGGGTCCTGTGGTGGAGGACTGGTCCCAGCACAACCCCCTGCTGTGCAGATGGAGCTCCTTGGACCACATGCTTGGGTCTCTTCCCCTCCATGAAGTGCAGAACCTTCAGGAGCCTGTAAGGACCTGCTACACAGCCAGTCAGGCGTCTCTGATAACAAGAGAAACTGGCAAACTAAGAGACGAGGACAAAGCTCTCCAGGAGGAATCAGACTGTGCCGCAACGTCTGCTGCCCTGAAGATGACAGAAAGTAATCTAGTGAAAAGCTTACGTGAGAAGTTCCAGAGTTTAAGCACAAGCTCTTAAATTATGTACATTTTTAATATGACAGACTATCAAATGGAAACTTTAACTGCCTGTTACCTGATGCTACCTTCCTGATTTCCCCCCAAAAAATCTGCACATTGTTTTCAGTATAGGGGTCACCGTGGTGATGTTGAAACCAGTGAAACAAAAAAGGGATATTATTGGTCACTGGCGAGGGTGAGGGTGGGGTGAGGGTGTATTGCAATATTTGTACATAGGGTATTTGTCTGCACTGTACAATACACGTTTATGTAAAAATACATATATAGTCTCCCGTATGAAACTGAAGATTAGGTTCTACTTTATTATTATATGCATCCTTTTGGTTCCCTTCCACTGTTGGTGATTCTTGCCATAATCACTTTATTATCATTTAACCATGTAAACTGTAAGCTGGAGTTTCAGGGGAAAGCAAAAAAGGAGCTAAAGTCTCGAGAGAGAAGTCTCTGAGCGTACACCAAAGAGTTTCCTTTTAACATTTGTTGACTTTTAATGCATGTGGGCACAGCAGTAATTTGCTTCCACGTCTACTGTAGCTGCTTTTAAAACTGTTTTCACACACTGTATCACTGGAGCTTTATTTTTTCTCAACAAGTTGTCTATTTTCTTTAATATTATTTATGAAACTGTACATTTGGGAGAGATTGGCCTCATGTAAATACTGGCAAGCAGCAACCTTTTTTTCATTTCCATTCCAGAAAATATATTGTTTCATACTTGAAATTTCCCATATTTTCAATAAAAACAGAAATGGTAATTGTCCACATCGGGTCCCTCTTCACCCTGTCGTGCATCTCAAGTACACTACTTTTAGATTAGATCATTTAGAAAAGGTTTTTCTGCTTATCTTTTGTATGTGCACTTAGAGTGGTCGGTCTGTGGTGGAGTGAGGGCTGTCCGCCCGGAACCAGGACCCATCTTGTCCTCCTGGCTTGGCTCGTCAAATGTTTTGGTTTCATTTTTCCGTCTCAATGCACCTCAAACGATGTCTATCTGACTCTAGTGAGAGACCACAAACTCTCACTGAAGGTACCCAGAATTGACGGTTTCACTCCACGTGCAAGATTTATTTGCATCAACACAGGATACAAGCAAACCGAGTTGTCTCGAGAATCAACTGACTAGAACAAAGAAAATTACTCTATTATATGCCTCTTTCCCAAGGATATCTATTGGTGACGTCTAATGTCTGATAAGCAGTAGTCATAACACATCTGATGCCCTACTCTACAGGAGACAGCCTTGGTCTTTGGAATGTGCTTAGCTCATGTCACAATGAATAACACCCCTCCTAACTAGTGTGAGACAACCAGAATGTGAATACATGAGGATGAACATAAAATATTATACTCTAAACCTGTAAAACTAAACATAGAATAACACAACATAATATAGTTTGCTTCATGTTCACAGAACCTTATCCCTGAATGCATTGTCCCACTACAATCCATCTGTGGTTTAAGTGAGTCAGTCTAGTTATATCTACAACTTCCATGAGCAGCTGGTGAAATGGACACTTCCATATTTGTACAAGACTGAGACAGTATTTCTGGAGAGTTGAGACTATTTCATCAGTGTTGTGTACATAACATGTGAGAAGGGTCAAGGACCAAGCAGCACCACGACACTAATGATAAAAGGACACCATGCAATGAGCATGATGTTATTAATACATCAATACGACAAAAAGTGAACCTTCACATTCTGTTGGGGGTCTGGAGACCCCGCCACTCAAAAAACACACTTCATATTGTCTTTTCAGCTTGGTAAATCCTGATGAATTTAAGTGAGAACTGCCTTTAAATATGATTTTTAACTTAATGACAAGTTTCAGAAGTCTGCTAGGGGAAATTACACATTAGTATTTGCCTATATAACGTAGTGAGTATTTCTTGTGTGTGTGTGTGTGTGTGTGTGTGTGTGTGTGTGTGTGTGTGTGTGCCTTTATCAAATGTCATCAAAAGTCCAGTTTGTGCAAAATAGGGTTACCATTTTTGTACAGATTGGGTTTGATTAAGGTCAGAAGTAATGGGGGGAAATAATTTAACAACTATTAGTATTATTTTTACACATACAGCACTGAGCTCTGTGCGACCCCAAACAATTAGGATGTGAAGCCAATATCCATAAAATGGACCTATCTGAGTAATCTGATCAGTGTATTTTAATCAGAAACCGTCAGGAACAGCTAGTGGCAGTATAATAAGGTGTGTGTGTGTGTGTGTGTGTGTGTGTGTGTGTGTGTGTGTGTGTGTGTGTGTGTGTGTGTGTGTGTGTGTGTGTGTGTGTGTGTCTTCATTAATGTGTTTTAGATATATTTTATTTAAAGTGACTGCACAGCCCATCCTTTGTGCCCCAGGTTACCAACGCACCGTCTCCCTCTTTACTGAACCATCGCCTTTGAAAGCTGCGTCAAGGCAGCCACAAACACACCGGAAGTCAACAGGGCCCTCCTTCAACATAAAAGCTTAATTACGACTCAATATATGCGCATCGTGGAGGGTTTTTATTTTGAACCAATGACCAGAATTTGCATCCTGTCGGCCCGTTTGCTAACTTGACACTGATTCGTGAGCCCAACAGAGGAGAGGAGTTCAGGACGCAACTGGAGTCGCGCACTTCAACCACATGCCAACAACATCAGATTTCCTCTGGCACAAAATCAATTAACCCTTGTGTTTTTTGTCCCCCTCTTGGATTCGCGCAAAAAACATCATCGGCTATTTCTTTTTTTTTTATATGAAGAATGGGCTGCGCAATATCAGGTCTGGCAGCAAAAGCAGAGTTTGGAGAGAGGAACACAGAGGATGCTGCTGTTGCTGCTGCGTATCCCAGAGAGGATCAGATCCAGATGATCAAGGAGTCGTGGAAAGTTATCCGGGACGATATAGCCAAAGTTGGGATTATTATGTTCGTCAGGTAAGCTGCTCGAGACTCGCCGGTACTTTTCCAGATGTCAAATTACTCAAAAGTGAAGACATGATTCATCTAGGTGGCTGATTAGAAGTGTAGGAGATAATGTAAAGCTGCGGTATGTCAGCCCATCTGATATATACTACTCACTTAATGACATCAATAATAAATGGTAAAATGCATGGCAAAAATATACATATACAATATACATACAAATTTCACACATGATGTGTCTTATGAAGAGGAGCCAAACTCCCCCCTGGCTCCCCTGTAGTTCCCTAATTATGTGTAGTATTATCAGGTTATATTGAGTATCCTTTATAAACACTGATTCTCTGTGGATATGTTATATTTTTTCACTTTAAGACAGGATTCTGTGGAAGTGGTGTGGCAGTAATTTACAGCCAAATAGGTTCCAACTTTTTCCTCAATGGCATTTCCCCATACCATGTGTGTTTAAAGGGCCAGCAGATGTTGACTTTTCAGGTTAACCTTATCAGACAGCTTAGTGAAACCTCTGCACTGCGTTGTGACCTGCTGGCCCAAGACTAAGACGTCTGCAGAAGGTCTACCCCGATCCATTGTGACGATGACATGGTGCCTGACCTTTTCATACAAGTCAGAGAGTGAACATCCATCTTCCCTCTGCTGCGCTGAGACCTCGGAGCAGAACGCCCCTCCTCCCGTCTTATCACTTCATATCACATCTTGACAACATTACGTAATAACACACGGCTCCAGGTCTGCCACACTACAATTAAAGGCATCAGCCAGCAGGAAAATGCAATTTATCAATTATGATGATGACCAGCGTCCGGGAAATCGTCTTTGGCCCTTGGCAGGGAAATAAAACAAATGACAGAATACGATGCTAAAGAGTGGCGGACATACAGGCTGCAGCTGCTGGATCTGGAGTAAAAGGACTACTGGGCAACTGGATGGTAGCCCAGTTAAGGCCATGTGTCCCCCGGGTGACCCCAACAGTTGAAAAGATTGACCTTATCGGGTTAGCCTGGAAATACATGGGCCTCTTTCAGGCCAGGCCGGGGCCCCCAGGCTGTCCAGGCCTGTATCTCATTACTGAACACTAATTGTTACAGTAAGACAGCAAATGGGGATCACCTGTCTTCTATTGTGTGCTTCCTGGGAATTTAACAAACCTTATTTCATGGCAAGGGGGTGTTCTTCTGTCAAATTTAGGTAAAATAAGATTCTTGTAGGATCTGTTCATGAGAAATGAGTTATGAATACAACCTCTGAATAGCGCCAATTAAAATTCCACATGAGCAATTTAGTGCAGAATTGTCTGCATATGTATCGCACCCATGTCCACAAGGAGGACACACAAACAATGGAGCAAAATAACCAGCTCTCTGCGTGTTTCCGCTGTGTTGGTGGAAAACAAAGAGCAGCTGATTTCCTCTTTTCTCACATCAGTAAAGCTGTTAGGCAGGAAGCATGAACAGTGAGGGAGTAAATTTCAATTTAAGATAAAACAGGCAGACATGAGAATTAAATACAGCAATAGAGATATGAAAATGTGTTTCTTAGTCAGGGCACTCTCAACCCTACAGGGGCCTGGATGCAAAGACACTCACTCACATTTTGTCTTTACCCAGAGCTCGGAGGCCACGTCAACACATTGCATTTCAATAGACGTCTCTGCATTATCATCTGCTTGTCAAAGGGCGCAGTGCTACTCATGTTTTGCACAGCTGCCATTAGAGAGACCATCACTTCTCTAATACCTCTCCCAGCACCTCTATTCATTTATCTATCAAGAGGGCCACATGTTATAGACATCTAATGCATTTATTCATGAGGGCTGTGCTCTGTTTTTCTGGTGTAAAAACACATTGTGTGGAACAACCAGAACAAAAAACTGAAAATAGAATAACTCCTCTTTGACCTGCCACACCCACATGTATTTTAATTTATTATTTATTATTAATGCTTAGCTCAGTGTTACTTTACCATTAAAAACAACTTTGAGCTCAAGTCCCTTAATGACAAAGCTGAATGCTCATGTTCCACCTCACAACCTCTGATGCCCCTCATTGTCCTTTTTTTCCCTTTCATGTTCCCTTTGACACCAAGCTCATGCAGAAAAAGCAGCATTACAACCAACCTTGCATCTCACTGTGAGCACAACACAACTCACATCCAGAGGAGGCAACTGTGTATTCTAGTAGAATAACTTATCACAAGTACCTTAGCTGGAGTCAGGAAGGCTCTCTGATTGGATGGCAGCGTGCTTAAGGAAATAGATTGCGGTTAAATCTGTAAAAGAACAACTCTAGCAGGAGCGTAAGACTGAGGCTCTGACCCTGCTCTTGAAGAGGCTCATCACAGTTGGAAATAAGGGTATGGGTGTCCTGGCTAACAAACCCGCAGATCCACCTGGGCCTGCCGCTGATTGCAGCTGCTGGGTGTAAAAAGCCGGAGCAGAGGGCAGTGATGATAAGAAGAACCAGAATAAGATCAGGAAGGCACAATCAGATCTCTATTCAATGTTTGGGGTGCAGAGAAGCCTCTAATCCCCATGTTGATTAGCTGCACATTCACACTTAGCACCACAAAAAATTATTTTTATGTCATCTTAGTTGGGAAACCCAGGGGGAGGTTTGTTTGTCTGTGTCGGGGATGAATATGACAGGCTGCTCCTCACGAGCGGCTCTCTGAGGCTCATGGATGGCTGCGTGCTGCTGTTGTTGTCTTGGTAACAGGCTGTTTGAGACCCATCCCGAATGCAAGGACGTCTTCTTCCTGTTCCGAGACGTGGAGGACCTGGAGAGGTTGCGAAGCAGCCGGGAGCTCAGGGCACACGGTCTACGGTCAGTCACACACATTAGTATCAACCAGAACAGAACAAGTACTGCATGGTGTACACTGGGCAGGAGAGCATATTTATATCCAGCACCCTTTAGTCTTGCTTACACTAAAAGGTCAAAGTATTTCAGCTCGGGGCGCCTGTATATCTCACCTGGTACTGTATGTGCCGGGGCTGGGTTCAACTCCGACCTGAGACCCTTTGCTGTGTGTCATCCCCCCCCCCCTCTCTCTCCCCCTTTCCTGTCACTTTTCAGCTGTCACTATCAATTAAAGGCAATATAAGCCCCAACAAATGTTTTAAGAAACAAATATTTGCAAGCTCATTAATTGGCCTCTGTCATAATGACCATCCCTGTTACTGTGCAAAAAAAGGACATGGCCGAAATCATGAGGTATTTTCTTATTGTCAACAAATGTGTTGATTTGTGTTTGGTAGGCACTGTAGTTTTTAGAAAATGTTCCTCAAACAGGAGTAAATTGTGCATTTTGGTGGACTATTTCCAGCTGTGGATGAATACACATTTGGTGATCTTGTGCAGTGATTCCTAACCTGTCATATTCCATATGTGTTAATTAGAACTGAACTGGATATTAGTTATCAATATGAATTATATAAAAGCGGATCTTGTTACATTGAAATTCTTGATACTACGGTTTGGGCAGTTTTTTTGTGAGACACCAGTTTATAATCCTGACTGTATTTTCCTCCTAAACACAAATATATGGATTCAAGCTTTTGCTACAGGCAGTAGTTGTTCGTTTTCTCATTAGAAAAATATAGAATATCACCAGACTCATCTTTTAGGGTCATTTATTTTTCTCTAGCTTCCACCTTTCATTTAGATTTGTGTAACCACATTACGTGATCAAACCCCATGTTGCACACAGTACAGTGGAAGACATAAATCATAAGATCAGAGGGAGAGCCAAACACCTCAGGTGGTCATTATAATAATCATTATAACGCTGCTTACCGCCCTGCTGCAGACAGATCTTGTAGCATCTATCAAAGCCACTTGTCTGTTGTTTCCCAGGGTGCATCAGGCAGCTCTGTGTTCCTCTACACACAAGGCCAAAGCAGCCAATTACTGCCTGAGGACCTGAAGGTACAGAGGCTGGCGTGGCATCGCAGCAGCAACACACAAAATGTGTTACACGTCACAGCGTGAACAGGCTGCTCTCAAATTCTGTGATAAGGCCAAATGGCCCTTCAGCCGCACACTCAGGGACATTAGTACAAATGTCCACTGTGGCAGCGAGACAGAGAGAAGAGAGAGCTAAACATCTCAAATCCTTTGTTACCTATTCATCTTCAAAACTGTCACGCACACACTCCGCAGAGATGGCAGACACACATACAAAGCAACAAAGGAAATTGATCTTGTTATGTTTTGTGCAGGAAAAATATGTTTTTAGGAGGTTTAAGTATTGTGCAATCAGTTGGTTTTGCCTCAAGTGTGAACCAGATTGATAGATTTACAATCAATTGTGTTTATTTTTCTTGGCATTTGAGTTTATGAAATGTCACCATGCAACCGTTCAACACAGAAGAGTGTCACACTATCAGTTATTCTCTGCCTGCTACTAATTCATGATTAACGGGAGGATCAATCAGGCTGGGTGGCTAATCCTGAGTCTTTTATTTCCCATCTCTTTCAGGGTGATGTCTTTTATCGAGAAAAGCGTGGCTCGACTGGACCAGCTGGAGAGACTGGAAGCTCTGGCTCTGGAGCTGGGAAAAAGCCATTATCATTACAACGCCCCACCTAAGTACTACAGTGTAAGACCCCAGTGCTCCCAACGGTGCTGAACACAGCCTGTTTTTGTGATGCTGCTTTGTCTACAGACGAGCGAACATATTCTAATTTGAGCGGATAGCTGTAGCTCTTTATCAGACTCACTCATTACTCCGAGACCCTTAAAATCACAGCAGCTGAATGAATTGATGCACTCCTAAAATGGAAACACACCTACTGTTGCAAACACTAACAATTCAGTGACACACCAACTGGATGCTAGCCTAGTTTCCAAGGCACAAGCACGTCACTGAGTATCTCACATAATTATTTTCCAGTACGTAGGAGCAGAGTTCATCTGTGCCGTGCAGCCCATCCTGAAGGAGAGGTGGACAGCCGAGCTGGAGGAGGCATGGAAGGTAAGGAGTGTCATTGTGTCTCCTTATGTGGGTGTTTATCAGAGACCTTTGCAGAGATCCATTCTGGGTAAAAAAAAAAAAAGGGCTTGATGTGTGCAACCAGTGAGCAGCGGTGATGGTTTGTGTCCAGCTCGCATCAGCTCTGAACGTCTCTTTTAATGCACCATGTAACATGTCAAGATGGAAACCAGTGCAACACAAGCTTGACTGATGTGAAATGTTCATCTCACTGAACCATACATGAGCACAGTGAGAAAATAGAACATGGCTCTGTCACATCATGTTATGTCACTTCAAGATCCCTCGTGTTATTAATACAGAGACGCTCGAATACTCCTGCTGCTACACAAGATAGATACGTCTCTTTAATTCCGTGAATTTAGTTTTAGTGTTGAGCTTTCTGGCAGTGGACTAAATTAGGGGGGTTTAAGACATTATTTACTTCTGGCAAAACAGATATATAAGAGAAAAAAAAGATTAAATATATTTTCTTAAGCAATTATAGGCACTTTTTAGAGATAGTATGTTGTGTTATATTTCAGTGATTATGAAAATATCCTGAGAAGAATAATGTTAAATTTAAAGTTACAATGTGTATCTTTGTTCATCTGCTCCAATGAAAGGCCTCTACTGTCCTCTAGTGGGTTGAATCAGGAGTCCCCAAACTGTTTCATGTCAAGGACGGCTGTAATAGATGCATATTAGACCACAGGCCCAGAATTTGAGAGGTTTTTGTCTCAAGGAATCTCCTCTGAGTAATTGTTTTTTGTTTATTTTTTAAAGTTTGAAGATAATAAAATCTTCACAGTTGATTAAACAAGGATCACTAAATAACAATTAATCAAAATGACCAACCCTATTTCTTCCAGCTTCCAAAATCGAAATTGAACGATTTTATTTATTATTATACACTCCAGCTTTGGTGCGTATTTGTGGACACCCAAACAATATCTTATAGCACCGTTTTTAGTACTAACTCACACACTTTATTTCCAAGGCCCTGGCTGAATGATTAATCACAGGACACAAAAGCTTCAAAAATATGAGCATAAAATGAATTATTTTAGTTTTCTTTTATCAATACACAGTCAGTTATGAGTGTAGGAGAACAGTTCCAGCATTTGTTGGTGATACTAAGAGCACACAAGAGAATATTTATCATTTTCCTCCCACACAATTCAAAGCTTGGTTAATAGAATGTCTTTCACCTATAAGGGACCCTGACCCCCAGTTGAATGTGTGTTGTGTTCGTGATGCAGACCATGTTCCAGTATGTGACCAGCCTCATGAAGCAGGGATACCAGGAGGAGAGCAGCCGACAGCGCCACCTAGCGCTCTCCCCAAAGGAGAGACCGGACAAGAGGAACACAGCGCTATAGGATGCTTCTTCTCTCAACCACAACTCAAGACTGTTTTTACCAGTTCAGCACAGAGATGTGTTTGTGTATATAGTGTATTTACTGTCTCCTTTTCTACATCGCTCGTCTACCACCGTCATTGTTTTGCTAATTTATCACAAAGGCCAAAACAAATACATGCAGTGACTTTTAACAAAGCACTTTATTTCTGAACTTAAATTGTGCGGCAGGACTCAGGAGAATGACAAGACAATACAAATGCTTGACAAAACATACTGGCTGTAGTTTAACCTGCCTTGTAATTGTGATCAACAGAAATGTCATTATTAGAATTACAGCCGATACTTTGTCTCTGTATTCATAACTCAAACTCAATGCCTTTCAGTAAATCTACAACTTTTAACGTTTTGGGCTATTTAACTCATTCAGAACAGGTATTCACATTTCAATTAACCACATTAACTGAAGCCATACAGTACATGGTTTAACAATTCAACGGCCAGTTCGACAGCCTCGTACAGGACTGTGGTTCAAAACAAGGGGGCATAATGATATTCATTGTACTTCAAAACAAACTAAAAACATAGAATAAAGTTAATTAAAAAAAAGTTTAATACTGTAAAATTGGTTAAACGTACATCAAATCTGATCTGATTGAGTTCTGTATTTCTAAGCAACTTAACAGTAATTTCAATGATTTTTAATAACAAAAACAAAATTCCAATGATTGGAATATTAAATGTTCTTCTCAAGACGCAGTCAAATTTAAACATGGCAGCACAGCTCACGGGTTAGCCGTAAATATAACATAAATAGGGACTCTAACAATTAAATAGTTTGAAAGGCAGATAATCATTGGGCTCCATGGATTTAGCTCCAGGGGTGCCACAGATGTTGAAGACTTGGCTCCGAAGCAGAAATGGTGGAGATTCAATGAAGTTGACTTGCTTCGTCCTGTGTGAGTTTACAAGAAATCCTCAGGTTTTCTGTTCCAGATCACCGGATGGCACTGACCAGGCAAAGATGAGATATTACCATGCAAACAATGGCATAATATAAAAGCAGTCACCAGGTGGATGAACAGTGATTCTGAGGCCTCGGGTGAATGGGAAGTAAGCCAGGTGGGGCGACAGACCGAGAGGAGGCCTTTCCCATTCCCTCAGATAGTACAGGCCAGTTTAGGTACCCATGGTTATGTTAAAGAGTCTGTTGCTCATTGGGTGGCTTTGGTTTTCTTGCTTTTGCTTTTCTTATCTTTCTTCTTAAGTCCATCCATGTGAGCTCTGAGGAGGTTGGAGTATGCCTGAAAAGAAAGTATTTGATTGAGTGTTAACAGCTCATTCATTGAAGACAGACTATTATGAAAACAAAAGATAATGTTTAACAAGTCTGTTAATATCAAGGAGAGCTAGTCAAGAAAATACGCATGCAGTGACCCAGGGCAATAGCTTCCAATCAACCTACCATTTGAAACTTGATTACTTCTTTGGTGCTGACCTGTAAAGGGCAAGAAATGAGAATTGAGCATTTAAAGCAAAAGATCAAAGATTCAAAGTACCAAACACAAAACCAGTAAACTCACCACTGTGCTAATCTTCTTCTTGCCTTCAGACGCTCTGATGAGACATTTGTTGTCTGCTGGATCAAAGGACTCTGTGTGGCCCTTTCTGGGGACTGGCTTGGTCCTCCCATCATCTGAAAAGAAGAAACACATTTAGATGTTGAAAGGGGAAAACACACACTTCCTGTCTGTGCCTGATAATGGTGATATTGGCGGAAACTCAACAGGGATCCACTTACATTTCTTTAGCGTGATGACAACACTGCCAGATGTTCTGCACTTCTGGAACAGCCTTGTGAGCTCTGTGAGGAACTGGACAATAAAGCAAAAAGAAATATTAATGCCCCGGCAAACTATATTTTACCAGTCCTGGAGAAATGATCAATAACTGCCAGCACAAGTACATCTAGACTAAACTAATAGCAATCGTGTTTCAAACTGTTAAAGGAAGGCCATTTTGGAAGTTAGCGGTGTTGTTGAATTGTATTCTTTCATATTTAAAAAGGTGTTTCAGGTTTTTAGCCTACCTTCATTAATATAAAAGAGGAGAGCCATTTAAGACCCATTTCATCAAAGCATGAGTCATCTAATAAACATTCAAGTGTGTATGGGTTGTTAAAGGACCTGTTAGGTAACACACATTTCGGCTAAATTAAAAAGCCACATTTTTTTACTTTAGTCCGCCTTAAGTTAGTTCTGTCCTCAAATATTTCGTTACAAAGTGCTCACTTTAGTTTCAACGTTGCAGTCCAAGTTTGACTATTTATTTTACTACATTAAGTTTAGCGTCAAGCAGGACACTCAACCAGTGACACAGGGCTCCGTGCAACTCTCAACATGTTAGAAAATATAATAAGATAAGTAGAGAACGACACATTTTCCCAGTTTAACGCAAAACCAGTGTTAGCTTCAACCTAACGTTAGCAAGCAGGCTAGCTAGCTAATGAGTCTGTGTGCCGACTAGCTATCTTGTCTACCGTTGAGGCTGACCGCTGGTTAGCAGTCAGACAGCTACAGGACACCGTCTGTAATCAACATCGTCCAGAAATTAAGTTATTCACAATATTTTTTGTTCTTACCGCGTCATTTTCAAGCAGCACCATGACTCTCACTTCACTTCAGCTGTAGTGTTAGCTCACTTGGCCACAAGCTAACTGCTGGGAAGCACACGTACTACTACACAAGCCGGAGCCCCGCCCTGCAGCCTCAACGTGGGGACGGCAGGTGTGTCACTGCGCCCTCTACTGGCAGGGAGGGGAACGACACACACAGATCCACTTAGTCATGAAGACAAAAGAAGTTTGGAAGGAAACATCTGGACAATGATCTTTTCCAATGATTTGGAGTTAGTTTACCATTAAAAATATAGACACAAGGCTTTCATCAACTGGAAACCACTGAGACTTATAATGATCATCCAACCAGGAAAGGTTGAATCAGGCTGTTGCAGTGATTATGGCTGTAACTGCAGCTGGGATCCTAAAAGAAATCCTTATTTATTTATAGAAATAAACTATATAATATATATATAATTAGTTACACTACTATTAAAACTACTTTTCTGCTACTCTCCACTAAATTGTGTCCCTTTCCCCCAAAATTCAGACTTGCGACAATTAAAATCCAGTTTTGTTTGTAAAAATCAAAGTTTTTTGTCTTCCAAGCTAGTTTTCTCTACAATTAGAAAAATATATTCAAGAATGTGATTGGATTGCTGGGTTTCAAGTAGGGGGTGACATCAAAAGAAAGATCGTAACAAATTATTTTTTGGGGTGGTGACTGTAATATTAGAACTGAAATGTGTAAGTAATTAGTTACACTACTAGTTACTGGAGAAAGTAGTATAAAAACTGTAATATTATTACTAGAAATTAGTTACTGCCCAACACTGGATATCAGTTATGAATTGTGCATAAGGACAAAGCCAAAACACTTTAACACTATAATAGAGTTTTTGGGTGACACAAAAATTACAGTCTGTGTCGTTCTTATAGTTGCAGCTGATATTCTGACTGGCTGTTATAATTACCAAGGCTGTGACACAGGGGTTGTACAGGTGCAGTGAATTGCCACGGTTGTACCTGTGGTGTACAGTCCCATTACATCTGTGCTCTCTGATCGGAGTACCAGGTTACAATCCTCTGGTTTCACAAGGCTGTCTCAGTCAACGTTACTGTTTATGGCGCTGTAAAGAGTAACCACAGTCACAACAACCACAGCTACTGATGTAATCACTCACTGAAATAGTCACAAATAGTGTTTCACAATTCAACACATATCCAGGGACAGCAAAGTGGTCGACAGCCAGTGACTGACTCTGAACACACATATTATTTAGTTTACAAATCTCATGGATATTGACATATATTTAATATTAATGATACAGCATATACAGTATTCATGCATTCAACAATTAGTTCAGCAAAAAACACCCACTAAATCTTCCAAAAACATCAATGATAATGCTCAATAAATTTTATTTGTAGGTAGAGGTGCATTACATTATAGTTAATGAACCGAGAATGATACAGCTGGTTTACTTTAAACGTCTGAAGTCAGGGTTTCATTTATAAAAATGTCCACTTTATCCTCACTTTCAGAGCACATTCACTTTAAAGAGTATGGTTTATATTGTTTTAAGCATGGATATCATAGAAAACTCTACCAAAACTGCATATTTTGACAAATATAACATAAAAAAAACAGCAACACTATGGTGTTAATATGGCCTTGAGAATAAAATGTATTTATGTGTAACTTTTATAAAGGCGTTTCTGTCATCTTGACAGTGCACAGTCTGGGTGGTGTCCCAGGTCAGCGAGGTGTACAGCAAACTCAGAGTGCCAGTCTCTGTCAAAGACCGCTCTGAGCTGGCTCTGCAGGGCCTCAGTCTTTGATACAGGGTGAGGAGCATGCTGGGAAATCACAAGACCCACTCCAGCTGTGTTCAGAAAGTAGTCACCTGACCAGTTGGAGGTACCTGGGGGACAACACAACATTATCTGGTCAATTATTAATTTGTTTACATGCAACAACAAATGGGCTCCTCAACACATGAATGAAGTGAAGTGAGTTTAAACTAAACTTTACATGTGTGGAAATAATAATCCTGAAGGTAATCTGTTACTCACCAATGTAGGCTACTTCATCAGTCACCATGTATTTGTTGTGGTTGACTCTAGAATATGGAATATCAGACTGGTTTCCCACAGGCACAATGTACAGTTTCTGGAAAGAGAGATTATTTGCACAAAAAATAAGGAGAAAAGAAAATTCAGTGGCAAAAATACGTGTTTACAGCAGGTGCATTTATTTCATGTTGTGTCTTACTATTTGGATGCTGATATTCTGGTGAGTGCTGTCCATTGAGGCTAGAGACTTAAGGAAGGGCAGCATGGCTGGATCAGAGTCCTCCCCACAGCTGATCAGCATCCGGATCTTAACCTTCCTCTCGAATGCGGCCGTCCTGATGGCATCATCAATGATTGGCCAGTATCTGTTCAATGACAGAATCCAAAGTAAAGCAAAAAGAGATGAATAGTTTGATGGAAACAAACAGTTCCTTTTGTGGGGCAGGTTCACCTCTGAGGCTTTTCAAAGCGTGTGGTGGGGAAGTACTCCATGACAGCTACATCAACAAAGTGTCGGGCCTCTGAGATGATGGAGGTAATAGCCTCCAGGTCTTGAGTCCTGGACGGAGGACAGAATGATGGTGGAGAACCCTGCGGAAACGCAAACAAGGAGTATTAATACCACCAAAAACAACCAAAAAGTTAGATTTTTAAAACCTGACTGCCACATGGTTACAGTTTGAAGGCTGGAAGTTGTCCGGGTTAAATTTATAATACGCACACTTATCCGTAAAAAGACACACCAGTCCTTTCTCCATCAAAATAACAGTGTCCTGTAAAAAGGAACTGAAACCTAAAAGGAACTCACTGTAAGGTAAAGCATGCTGGAGACATTATCAGTTTTAACCAGCAGAGGGTGATGTTTGTTGATGTCAGTGTCATACTTTGCAGGCCAGGGCTGTGGCAGGGAGCTGTTGGATTGTCCCATCACCCAGTAGGACTGGAAAATCTTATGGAGGTCCTTTGCCAGACTGGAGCAGTTGTAGATAACTACTCCCAGTTCCTTCACCTGCAGGAAAAAGTGAATTATGAAACTGTCAGGCAGTGTTTGAAGGGTTAAAATAAATCTGTATATCTGCATATTTTTGGTGGTTACCTGTGTGAGAGCCCTCCAGTCCATGTTGGCGCTTCCAATAAACACGTGTTTTCTATCAACAATCCAGAACTTGCTGTGGAGGACGCCCCCCGTCAAGCGCCCAAAGTTTACGTTCCTCACCTGAACTCCTTCAGACAGGAGGAGGCCAGATAAAGGAAGGAGGCTGGTACAACGCATTGCAAATCAGAACATACTGCAGTGAATGAAGAGAACAAGAACACCAAACCTTTCTGTTTCAAGATCTTTAAATCTGTGGAGTTTGTCCTAACGCTCGGAACACTGGTCACCACTCGGACAGATACATTCCTGGAGGGCAACTCTTCAAGTTCTTTCAGGATATCCCTTCCCTGTCGAGGACAGACTCACAGAATTTTCTAGAAACACAACAACACCGTCCGACAGTGTTTTATTGGTGTTTTAGTCAATAACTCACAGGTATGTCAGAGGAAGAGTTAACATTGATGTCTTCCCCAGTTAAAGTCCAGTAGAAAGAGGCCACATCCACTTGGTCCATTGCCATGGAGATAAGATCTTTCCAGGCTTTCTCCAGAGGCACCCCAAGCGTTACATTGGCTTTATATTTCATATGCTGAGGGATGCTCTCCACCAGAACCATACTAAGACAAAAACAAAGACATCTGCTGAGGGAATTCTTTGTAAACTGAACTGCAGAAAGTTATAATGTAAAGAGACAATTTAGAGAATCGTTAATCATTAAGTCAATACATGTAGATACACGGTGTGTGTTTTGTGATTTCACTTTGAAATTCTTGCTAAAAACTTCATGCCACAAAATTAGAAGAAAATGGACGAAAGCGATCCTATAAAGAGAGAAAATGGTTATTTATAATCATACTACATAGAATACTCAGTATTTAACCTTATGTATGATACCTGATGAATCATCACATCTAAAAAATTAAATAATCATTACTATCATTAAAGTTAACTATCACTTATGATTCCTGAATATACATATCAATCAGGTAATTCTGACAGATATATATGTATATATACAAATATCCTTTGATCCACAGCTGTTCAGATTGTAGAAAAAAATAAAGCTACAGTAATTCAGCCATCAACTAATACTTATGTAACTATGACTATATACACTTGTCTATATGTATATGTGCAAATTAAACTCTATAGAAGCAACCTAAATGGCACATTCAGACCACTCAAGACCTGTCTGAAATGATAGATTCCAGAATAAAAATATATGACTCTTGCACTTAAATCATCATAGCTATTATGAAACCTACTTATTCTTCACTACTACAGTATTAAGCCCACTCAACAGTTTTATTACATCATAACAGCGGTGAACCTGTTCAGCCTATCTGTCCCCGGTGGGCTCTGAAAGGCACGGCGGTGTTTACAGACAGCGAGCCGCTGCAGTGGGGTTATTACCGGCACTCGTCCGTAGAGAAACTGCTCCCACCGGTTCCCTCAGGAAGTGTCTCATGCTCTTTTGGAGGTGGTGGTCTTTCCAGCACGACGATGGCGAGCAGGATCCCCAGGACCGTCAGACAACCCAAAACCACCGCTAATGTCACACAGCTGGTCGACCTCTAAACAGCATGTAGTTTGGGAGGAAAACATGTCCAACAATAAGAACAATGTGTCACACCAAACTGATTGAATAACTTGGTGAATATTTAATGTCCTACCCCTTTGTTTGAAACATAACTGTCGTGAAGGCTTGTATACATGGAGGACATTTTTCCTTTAAAGAGCTCCTCCTATTAAAATTAAAAAGCAGATAATGTGATCTCAATCAGACAATAAAGACTTTGAATCTTTCTGACCACACTAATGGCAGAACTCATACTTTTACAGTTTAAATGGTTAAAATCTCTGAACAAAAAGCAACTTACACCAAGCAGATGCAGATTCTTTTAGCTCAAAAAACTTGATTCTTCCCCTCCAGCATTCACTAGAAACAGAACTGAAGGGATATTTCTGCTGCTCAATATATCACAGCACAGTTCCTGTTTTTACTTTCATTTCAGGCTGAGACATTTGATCGGGATTAAAAAAACAAAAAGTGTAGTGAGTAAATAGAAGTCATGAAACAAAACAAGTTTTGCTTATCAAATTTATTTGAAAAACCTGAAATCATCAGCTAACAAATTACACAAATAACTGAACATAAATACCAGCTAACAAGACAGCAAGATTACATCCAAATCATCCTGGGTGGAAGGAGGGGGAAGCATGAGTTGAATATCAAAACAAGGGGACACAAATTTGACAAACAAGAATTACTTTTCAGCTCTCAAACGTGCTGAAGCTTTGACTTAGGTGGAGTAAAGCAACGGGGAAAAACTATCCCATAGAAGAAGAATAGCAGCAATAATTTGAGCAAGAGGATAAACATTCAATTTTTGCTCGAGTTTGTAAACAACCACTGAAACATCATCCCACACAGCTCTGTGGCACTTACAGGTACTTCCCAGTCACAAGTCACATGTACAGTCGGGACTGGGAAGAGGGGAAAGTTGCTGGTGCACTGGGTCGCTTTGTTTCCTGCTTCAAGCAACCACAGCATCAAATGTTTACAATCTTTCGCAGGAGAGTAAAAGCTTTCAGTTTGCAGCGTATCAGGTTGACGCGATAATGTTTTACTACATTAGTGCAAAAGACAAGATTGAGAGGTAATTTGTAGGACATAGAAATATCTCTAGATATTTACATACTGAACAACAGAATGTGACAAACTAATGATCAGGTTTACAGTTTCACACCACCGACAGCTTTAACCGCTGAAATTACAATGCCTCTCTTGTACTGTGAGGACCCATCAGAAGGGATCTTGTGACTCGAGAGATTGAGGAAATAACACATCGTACACAGTGCTCTGATTAAGCATATAGAGGTTTAAGTGTAGTGTGATGGTACAAACACAGATGATGTTATTTGTGATTGTCTTCTGGCCACCAACCATAGAGCTAACTGTGCTCTTCAGACGTGGAAAACAAAAACCAAGTTTCAAACCTCCCGCTGTAATAAATAAAAACACACTTTTCAGAAAGTACAAAGGAATGCTGGAAAACTCTTGTTTTATAGCCACTTGAGTTTGTGGTTGCTAGGTGACTAAACTATGGGCTGAGCCCCTCCTACCAGTCGGACCACACATTCCTGAGGGATTTTCATCTCCACTTGGACAAAATATAGTGTTCATCTACTGAGAGGAGCATAGACTGAGTCGCTCCACTGGGAAATGTTACCAGAATAAATACAAAAGAAACTGTGTGGTAGCAACGGTGTAATATAACATTAATTGGTCTGGCAAAGTCATGTTGTCTTGGTTACAGCGTCTCACAAAAGACCCCCAATAAATACTTTTTACATTCTTCGATAAATCTGGTCCACAAACATAAAAGTGGCTAAAAAGACAAAAACATGGAAAGATATATAAGGAAATGCAGTGGGTTCACTGAGGATACAAGTACACAGTACATTAAGATCTGCAAGGTCACTGCAGTTCTTTCTACTCAAAACAAATATCAATTATATCAATTTGCCACTATTAAAGATAGAGATCTTCCCTGAGATGGTAACGCTCAGGTCAAGTAATTACAAAGAGCTTTCAAAATCAGCAATGTTGGCCGTATCATTGGCAAATAAAGAGGCCGTCCTCTTAACACAAACAGGATCAAGTATAGTGTTGAGGCCTGTCAGAGGTGAATGGGAGATTTATTGAAGTATTTTGGTACTTCCCTAAATCATCGCCTCATATGTCAGCCTCCCACGAGCGTGGTTTAAGGGCGTTTAGTGCAGGCTCCTCTGTCTAGGTGCTCATAGTGCAGTAGTGTTTATGTTTGGATCTACAGAAGGCTACAGTTCAGTTCTGCATATTACTTCCTCCTTTCTCGGTTTCATGGGGTTTTTGGGGGTTTCAGCAGATGTTCAGCCGCTTATGGAACCTGCGTGTTTGTGTCACACCTCAAACCAAATATCCCTGTCTGAGATCGTCTGGTGTCACAGCTGCTCTCCTGACACTCTCACTGGGCCTCGGGCCGCCGCCACGCTTGGACACAGAGTGGACTGTTCTAAAGTCTCTTGAGGAAGGAGGTCTGGAGGGCCGAACTCCAGATGATGAGGAGGCTGACGCCTTGGATGCTTCAGGCTGCCCACTGGGCTCAATGACTGTGTTAATCACTGGGGGTAAAAAGTAAATGTAGTTTTTAATTGATAATATTGATATTGATATTATTATAATGATTACTCATGCTATTCATATTATTTGAAGTTATGTTTTTAATAAATGGTCAGGTCGACTCACACTCAAGCTGTCGTTGAACTCTCCTGAGTTCTTTCAGGATAGATGTGATTTCCTGAAATACAGATGTCCAACTTAGTTCAAACAAACAGCATTAACTGACATACATTTACCTTGAAGCTTGAAAAATCACCGACCTTGTTGGAGGTTTTGACGACAGGAACATCATTGTCAGAATTAACCTTGGCCTCAATGTCTTGCCAGATATCCATCCTGTCCTGGAACAGGACCCTGTGTGCACAATATCAAAATTTAGAAGTTACAAAGTGGGCTTCTTACACTTCTAATCCAGATTTCTATGTCCAAAACATTGTTGATTTAGTTTCTTTAAGCTTTTTAAATTGTAGTGACTCAGAAGACCTAAATTCAAGGTAAACTAAAACACATTTTTCTTCTTTGATATCTTGTTCTGTTTTTTATTATTAAATACATTTTGGAAAACTGTGGTGACACCTCACAATGGAAACGTTTTTTCTGCCTCTAATCTACGGAGAAGACTACATGTCAGTCCTCAGTCCCATGTCATGTGCTGACTCACTCAGTCAGTCACACGAAATTAATAAGATTATTGGCTCAGTGCAGTCTGGTCGTCAAACAGGATCAATAACGTTTTTTATCAAACAGATTAAGCATGAGAATAAAGCATGTTTCTTCAAGTGTGTGTGATGTAGGTTTTCTTAACATCTTACTTAATTTTGTCAGCAAGTTGCTCAGTGTTTTCTCTGATGGCCATGATTATCTGAGACACAGGATTCAGCATCAGATTGTCCACCATCACCTAAAGACAAAGACACTAAATATTTTATAATGAGCCCCAGTGCTTCACAGAGGTTTCAAAATGGGGTGAAGTGGCAGATTGTTTCAGACCTCGTCTCTGCTCCGAGCTCGCGGCCTTGAGGGCTGTTCATGGTCACTCGAACTCTGGTCAGGTTCCCTTGTGGATGCAGAACTGGGTGGGACTCTCTGGTAGTTTAATCCAGCCTCTGGAATATGATGAATCAGCTGCAAGAGAATCAGACTTTAGAAATTAGTGTTATGGTATAAAACAGGCAGAGAGAGGGAGGCAAATGGACAGAAAAAGAGAATAGTCATCTTCAGTTCCAGTCAGTTGAGCAATTAGAGATTCAGTGTGGTAGATTAACAGCCCTACGAGCCCTAAGAGTAACATCTGATACCTCTTCGTGAGTGGTCACTGTGGAGATGGGTGCACTGGTCTCCAGTCCAGAGTTTTGTGGATCACCATCACCTGCCACGTCATGGATCTCTCTGGCCAAGATAGCTAGGTCTTTAGCCAGGTCTTGACTCAACCTAGCAGGGAAAGAACACTTGTTAAAAAGATGGCTGAAGTCCTCTGTTTAGAAAATTATAAACTATGTACACATAAAGGATCCTGGTCTTCTTATTTGTGTCATTGAAATAATTTAACTAATTCAAGATTGAGTAATTATATTAAACTGAAATTACTACTTGAATGTGGCATTGGCTCAATTCAAAATTTGGAAATCGAATCAGCATCTACACCAGAAATACTTGTTGGTAATATTCCTTACCGTGCAATCTCAGCACTGTGGTTGGACCAGTTGTGGAGGGCGTCTCCTTCATGATTCTCGTCCTCAGAATCTCTGCTGCGGGCTTTCTGTTGCAGGGCGACCACCGGCCGAGGCCGTGGCTGACTGCGTGGGCTATGGGAAGCTGAGGAAGGTTGGGAGCGTTTGTGTTTAGGAGTGCTCTGGTTTGAGTCGTACTCCTCATCTGAGGTAGAGGTATAGTCAGAGCCTTTCTGTCGTCTCCTGGAGCCTTGGCGTCATGAATTGGTTTGAGTAATGGATGATGAGGATAGAAAAGGCGGGAAAGCAGGAGAGAAAAAGAGATACCATCAAAGAATACAGGCGAGAAAAACACCACCATGTATTTAAGATGCTGCCACCAAAACTCCTCCCCAGAACATCAGATGGAAAAGCTGCAGTGGAAGTGCTCATTTCTACAGCTGAATTTGATCAGAAAGATGACTCAGGTTTTTTGATCATTCAAAATAATTTACAAATTGAAAAGAGTATGACTTCCACTGTACAGCAGCTGAGTACCAGACAAGTACCATATAGAGACCCTGTTCTGTTAGCATAGAGCATTTTGTACATGGTTAGTGTTGTAACCTTCATCATGTCACAGAATCCTTTTAAATTACCATAAACCGCATGGGAACACTGCAGATGAAGGAAAAACTAATTTGATCTAAATGCATTGTAATATATGAGGGCTTTTTTTTTTAACACAAGCAAAACGACAAAGACAAGGCGGTAGGTCATGGGCTGACGGACTATGTAGGCATCTCCTATTCAAATCTGTGCAGCAGCACAAAGTGCAAAAGGGCTGGCTGAAGGTGATTACAGATTATAGATTAATAAACACTTTCTCAGCCAATCCAATCACTGGTCTCGTTGCTCTCAAAAAACTGTACCAATCACAATGACGCATGACAACTACTGCTCAACAAAGTTCTCCAGGAAATCATGTTGTTGTCAGATTGCGGCGATGGTGATAGGAATAAATAATAACAAAATAGTTTGTTTTCTATGATTGCATTGAACCACCCTCCTGTTTGCTTCGCTGCTCCTATCTATGAAATGTGAATTGTCACAAAAATACCCACATAGACAGGCAAGGGAAATTGCAAGGTGAGGAAAATACCAAACTGTGACAGCGGTGTTTGCGTTGCCACAAAAATATGTCCTTAAATGTTAGTGTTATTGATGTAGGTGAGTAACTTCAGAGTCAATTCCCTTCCCAAATGTCATTTTTAGGAAAAAAAAGCTGCAAGTATAGAACCCAGGGGTTATTTTTTGAAACTTAACAGTATAAAAACTTAGGGCTATGAATGTGTCAAACCAATTCACCACTGTAGTTGAGTAACAGACCATATAATGCTTCCAATCCAATTTTTTGTAAAAAGTTTTTCAACAATACAGAAATAAATGGTCTCACAGGTCAAGACATTTGAAACTCAATGAAAGTTATATGCCAATGTGCATTATACTCACTTGCAGTGCTGCTGGCATATTTGGCACTGCTTGAACGTCCACGAGTGATTGGTGTCTTGTTGAGCGCTGCTTTCTGTGGCCTTTCTACAGGCTTCGGGCCCGGAGCAGAGGCCCTTCGAACTGAGCTGCCGCAAGACTCTGTGCTGCGGTTGGAGAATCCTGTGCTCCTGCCCGTCCCCTGTGGGGTGCAGGAGGCCTCTGTGTCGCTGGGTGTGTTGAATGAGCTTGTCCGCTTACGAGGCATCGCCAGCATATCCAGCCTGGAGAGTTGTTTCTTGGTTTCCTGGGGTTGCTTTGCCGAGCCGCTGCCTGCCTCCTGGGACAGCCTGTCGGTCTCCGTGCCCTCGTTGTCCGAAGCTTCTCCCAGGCGAGCCCGTCGGAGCATGGATGCTCTGGTGGGTCTTGGGGCCGACAAGCTGTTGGCACGAGTTAAGGCCTGGGACACTCTGGATGTCTTGCCGTCTTCCTTCTGTAAGGGTACTGAGTACTTTTTGCGGGTTTGGTGGTTGTTAGACTCCTGATCAGAGTAAGGTAAGCTCTGCGGGTCATCACTTAGGTCTGTGGAGCCACATTTCCCAACACTACGTCTCAGCCCAACAGGTCTCCTGACAGACTCAGTCTTACTGTTGCTGTCTGGTCCCTTAGAGCGCCACTTTTCTGATGTACTGGACAGGTGAACGGAATCTTGACTAGCTATACTGGCGGAGGACCTCTCCCTATGAAGGCCACTAACTGAAGTTTTTTTAGTCAGTGTGTTTGGCCTTGTCTTACTGCTATGTTGGCTGACTGTGCTGGAGGTATCCACATCAGACTCTCCAGAAAGCGAGTCCATTATTGGCGACGGTGTTGTTTCTAATTGTCCTGCTTGGAGTTTGGCCTCCAGAACAGCCAGAACATTCTCCGTCTCTTTGAGGTAAGAATGAGTGTCCCCTCCCTGGAATGACTCGGGGTCTGGGTCTTTTTGAACACGCTGGCTAGAGATGTTGGGCAATCTGGCATTGCTAGGCCGCTCCTTGGTGAAACTCTCCTGTCTGATTAATGGGGATGTGGTGCCCTCTTTGGACTCTGGACTCTGTCTGCCCTGGCCCAGGACAGGAGCAGACATATTGGGCTTGACTTTTCCAGAGTCTTGGTTAAGTCTAGGTTTGGTCAGGGTGGCTGTAGAGAAAGGTTTGGTTCCATGTTTTCTTTCAGTCTTAGGAGTGCTTGGTTTTGAGTCTTCGTTGTCAGCTTTGGACGGAGCCTCCTCTGACCCGATGTAGAATGATGTAGACTTGGCTGGGAGTCGGAGTTTGTCCTCATTTTTCTTCTTCTCTTCTGTGTCTGACAGCGGTCTCCTCCTTTGCTCTATGATAGAACCATCATCTGACCTGCTGGCGTCGCTCAAGCTGTCAGGCTCTACGTCGTCCTGCACTGACAATCTGTGATGGCTATCCAGAGACTTGGGGGTCACCAGGCTATTTTCTCCTACATCAAATGTTGAGTGCAGGTCATAATGAACATGAATGCTGGGAGTTGGAATGTCACTCTTCTCCCCCACAGGTACCTGGGGCAGGACGCGCCGAGCTCTTGAACCATCAGAGTTGCCGCTGTCGTGCTGTTGACTGAGGGTGGCCTTGTGGATGATTGTGCCTCGTGCTGAAGAAAAACAGTTTTAATGCATATTAACCACACATGCTGAAACTGAATATCATTCATATTCATCAGGGTGTCTCATTATCATTTCAAATAGACTCATGCCTCGTCAGGTGGCTTACCCCCTCCTGACAGCTCCATCTGGGAAGGAACGTCAAAGAGGCCAGACGCAGGGCCAGATTCTGTGTAGCTGTCTGCCAAGCTGGCCCAGCAAGACATCCACTTAGGAGCCCCCTGTAACATTGCACCTGCTGGTTGAACCTGCGTGAGATAACATATAACTTATTCAATATCTTATGTAAAAGAAGATGAAATATACTAAAGAAAGCAGTTTTTAATGATATGATTTCCTTAGTAGAAAACATCGTTAATATGAAAAACAACAGAACATATCATACATCAGTCTGTTTAATGAGTAAGTATGTAGTACGACTGATATAAAAACTGATTTTTTTCCTTGTATTTGGTTAGAAAGAAAAACCAAAACGAGGAAGCACCCAGAACCTGTGAGGGAAAAGGAGGCAAATCTAGAAATCAATGGAGAGTTACACCATAAAGAAAAGAAATCCCAAGAAGGCAAATCAAGACAGCAACAGAAACTGATTTGTGCGTTTTAACATTAGATGGTTTACTGATCCAACACAATAGTTAACTGACTTTAGAAGTGGCAATAAAATCATTTGTTATTCCACCAAATCATTGATTCCACCCTGAGCAGGAAGTTTTACCTTCACCAGACTCTGTCCCTGTTCTGGAGCTGGCCTCACCTCCCCACCGCTACTCTGTCTATGCTGCTCCCTGCTCTGAACAATAACAGGCCTAAATGCTGATGATGTTTCTGCTTCACTCTGGTTGGTTCGCTCTGGGCTCTCAAAAACACCAAACACCTGTCAGGAAAAAGCAGTGCAAGTGGATAAGTGCAGGAATGGAGAAAGTGGGACTGCCAATGTCCATGGTTCATTCTGAGATGGACTTACACCCAAGAGACAGAGGACGCTGATGATTGCAAAGCCAATTTATTTCCTTTAAGTAACATGTTGTAATTATTAGCCCTACAGCGTACAGACTTTATTTAAATTAAACGGAGAAAGAAACTTGCCTGGTCAATCTTACTCCGTGCCTCTTCTAGCTCTCTATCCTGAATATCCATTTCAATGGTGTAGGTTCCTGCATCACTCAGACTGTCCTCCTCTTCGTGTTTGAGGCCGACATGGGGGCTCTTGACTTCCACACTCTGAGACGCCAGGGGCATCACAGGGGCCTTAAGGGGAACAGGCTGGTGGATAGGAGAGGATGTCTGTTGCTTTTGGGGAGAGTTAGATGGAGTTTGGGAATCTACCACTGTCTCTGTTTTAGCTGCTGTAGGGGGACAAGATGTGTTTTTCTCCCAGCTGGCAGAAGAGGACTGCTTTGATTGTTTGAGGAATTCAGCAGTGAATTCCTGGGCAAGTTTGGATCTCCGGCCCACACTGCTGAAGGGCCTTACAGACACAGATGATGAAGAGCGAGAGGAAAAGCTGGTGCTGATCCGGTCCTCCGTCTTCTCCCTCCGTAGAGAGCCAGCTCTTTGAGGCCCTGTGGAAGCAGGGCCCTTCAGGGGGACGGTGTATCGTTGGGTTGGGGGAGTGGTGGAGGCTGGAGACGGGACTTGTCTCTCCCCAGTTGGGCTTGCGCTTTTCCTTGCCTTCTCCAGCTGGACCTTGAGGGCTGAGGGTTCAGGTGGGCATGTGTTATTGGTGAAGGACTGGGAGCGCTTTTTTCTGGGGTTATCATCAAAGAATTCAATGACAAAGGCTTGGTGAGGCTCAGCCTTGCCAAGGCTGGATAGAGACTGAGACTCGGGTGGAGAGTAGGACGTGGGCTCCTCAGAGTTGGGGGAGGCATAGCGTTGTGGCGGGGATGCTCTCAGGGGTTGTGGAGACACCTGCGACCCAGTCTGAGGTTGCGATTGGAGAAAATCATTTCCATTGATCTCAACATCTCTTGAATCACTGTGAGTGCCATCGTCAGGGCCTGATGATAGAAAAACCACAAGTTAGCACAATAATGCAGTCAACGGTACTGTTGGTAAACATAAAACCGACTTCATAAAAGTGTCTCACCCCTGGTGATATTAAGTGATGGGTCACTGTTTGTGCTATACATGTCTTCAGCCTGTGACCTCCTCCTCATCATGCTAGCATTGCTTTGGACCAGCCAATCAGCTACTTTGCTTTCCGCTGACATCACCTCAGTAGGTGTAGTGACAGCCTCTGTGGAAGGCAGCTTGCGCTGCTGGCGGAAAGAAAACTTGGTCACGTGGTCCTTAATCTTCATTTTACCTGGCGTGCATTCATCAAATTCGATGGTGAAGGAGGCATGGCTTTGGACCACAGGAGGTGTTGGGGTGGAGGACACACATTGACTGGGATCTGGAGTGTCCTTTGTGGGAACCTCGTGAACCTCGTGAACCTGCGACTCAGGTTTCTTGGCAGGTCGCGGCTGGGATTCCTTTGTTGGGATCTCAAAGTAGCTTGGCTCCCGGCGGTAGGAGAAAATAGACTTGGCCTGACTGTCGGACAGAGAACCATTGACCTCATATGTGGACACATCTTTAGCAGGCTCTGTTAGCAATGAAGAGTGGTGAGGATGCAAACACAGATGCACAGCAAGCATTAGTGATGATTCTACATTGTCATCCACAAAGGGAATCATTTACAATAGGAAGAATATTATTTTGGCATTAATAATAGAAACATATGTATGCGATATGCTCTTCTTTTTGAACTCACAATTACAGCTAGGTAATTCAAACTTTAGAGATACACACAGCTAAAGCAACAGATTGAGATGACTGGGATGACACTGGGATGACACTGTCGCACAATCTCTGAAACTGGAAGCCTCAAATCACACAAAGATTCCAGCTGTTAGACTGAGGAAACAAATCCGCCAGTTGGCATTTGGATGTGGCAAAATATCACTTTAGGAGCTCAGATTCTAGCAGAGGGTAGCTGAGCTGGAATAATCTGTTACAGCCCGGGAAACATGAGGCCTCCCCCCTCCAGCAGCTTTGAGGGTCATAATCCATCACGAGGCAGACAGGCACTGCCCACTGCCTTGGCATGGTATGGCCTGGCTAACAGTCCACAACTGGCGGCCAGAGACCTGCCTTGGGCTCAACACCATCCATCTCTCAGTGACCCACAAAGGGCATCAGATAGCAGTGCCATAGAAAAACATGTCATTAGGAATTAGGGTCTTATTCACAGATGTGGGAAGATCTAATACAATTACACTACACGTTAGTAAAAACACATTTTCTGACCTGGAGACTCCTCTCCTGGCGATTTTCCACCTCTGTTCTCCTTTCTGTTGGCTGGGTCCTCATCCTCCCCCCACCAGGACGGCTGGCCATAGAGAGGAGTAGGCTTGGATATCGGAGAATCTGTGGCAGCTAACAGACAAACACACAAATACAAGCACAAACACAGACAAACACACATCATTAGGCACATTGATATACTCAGGCGTAGGGAGAAAGGGGAGAAAATAAGAAATAACCAAACAAAGAGCTGAATATATAACGGCTCTTGTACTTATAAGGCAACGGATTTACATTAGTCACATGATAACACAATGTTGTGTCTGGGTTTGGTCTTGCAAAACAAAATGTTACACAACACTGGAGTTCAGAGAGACATAGTGTTACAATACTTGTAGCCGATGGGTTTTTTGCAATTCCAGCAAATTCCCATGACAGAGAGAGCAGTGAGGCCTGTGTGATACAAATTGTAACACACAGCCACCAAAACATAATCCTTCTCGTGCAGATCGGGACAAAGCTAATCCTAATCTTCAAAGAAAAAAAACAATATAATAATACAGAATAACAACATCTAAAGTGAGGCTTCTTGCAGACAGTGACACTCATTGTTTGCACACTGACCTCTGCTCCCTATACAGGTGCAACCTGGGCAATGAGGGTTAATTTCCCTAACGCCGTATCTGAACTGCTGTTTAGCCACCGACAGTCCACACATACCAGCCGGCCTATATGCCACTAATCAGATCATCTAGATACTATTTGTTGGCCTGATACATAGGCTAAACAATCTCTCTGGAGTTTAATTTGGAGGCTTCACAATCCTGAGCATCAACAGCACTTCACCACTGTTGCCTTGGACACACACAATAAGACATCAACACAGTGACGGGAGAAACAGAGGGGCATGTTACTAATTCCTTTCCCCTTAGCCAACCCTCTCCTTTTAGCTAAGGAAAACATGGGGGAGTGTCACAACTAAAGTGGACTGAGCACAGTTCTGAATATGTGGCTTCATGAAAAGTTTGAACTACTGGAAGTTAAATTAAACTAATTTCCATGATCTTGTTCAGGTTAGTTCATCTAGAGACTAGGGACATTTTAAATCACGTAGCTGTTGTGTACTGTATCAATGAACAACTATCCATTTCATGCCCCTTTAGAAAATACTAAATTGTCTGGGAATAAAGTAGGCTTGACTGAGTCACACACTGTGCAAGTGAAGTGTCCTGCCCTGCAGACAGCTGGAGGATTGGACATACTCCACATCCTGTACAGCTGCAGGGGAAAACAAGCAAGAGCACACAGAAAGAGATACACACAACTCTCTCAGCAGTCTTTAAGCGACAGAATTGTACATGATTTGTGTGATTCAAAAAAATTACAACAAACTTTAACAAAACCAAAATGAAACATCCAATCTAGAGTAATCATAAGAAACTATATCAAGGCCTCCAGTCAAACAAATTCAGCCAAAGAGAATCAATTTGCATTAAGTCAACAGAGGTATGCAGACCCAGTTTGGTTGTGTAACTAAGTGCAGGTCTTTTTATCTCTCACTGTGAGGAAAATGGCAGCAGAATTTTTTCTACATGTGTTTATCTAAGTGCAGCTTTATTCATATTTTCTGTAACATACAATTAAATACTATCCTTATCTTCTTGTGACTCAACATTTAGCGAGAGAGCGGAGCATGTTTTAATTATCTCATTGGTGGACTGGGTCACGACAACACAGGGAAGGCTGCTGTCACAGTGCACGCCCCCTCCCAAACGTGGCTTCAGTGAGCACGTTTGACAAAGAGTGTGCAGTCACAGGTTTACAGGATCACTGCGGTTAGCTTATTGCTGCAGGAGATACAACCACAATCACATTCTAGTAAGAGACTTCTTACAACAAGGCTCACTAAATGTTTTCCAAAGTTCTGCAGTTCAATGACTTATCTGTAAGGCACTCTGAGGGATATGAGCCTACTGCTGGAAAATCCTATTTTAAGCACCCGTTGCAGTTTTCCCTCTAAGCTCACAGGGGCGATTATGGAGCAGAAAGCACGAGAATTGCTAAATAAACAACAGCTGGAATAGGTTTTGTCAGTGTGAATGAGCTTCATTCACAAAGTGCTTCTCTTGAACTAACAATGGCATGACAGCAACTGAAAATATAACCGGCAACAAATACACCACCGGCTGCATAGACCAAAGTGCCAACTTGGAACCAAAAGCCTAGACACCTTTCTAATTATCTACGACACGTGTTGAAGCATCATCGGCATGTCTGGCAGCACCCCACCTCTTGTCAGCGGTCAGGCATGGCTGACAGAGATAAGACTGCTTGTCCTTAACTCTTCACCCCTCAGCTCATCTGGCAAGCTCTTACTCGTGTACGCTCATTCTGCTAACCTCCGGGATGTCAAGATCTATTTCTTTACTGACACTATAGGATTGCAGCCTCAGCCTCTCAAGCTCACATGGCAGCCTAATCTCACACCAGGGGAGCTCTTAATAAAAGAAGCCACAACCACTTTATCAAGTGATCTATAGCCATAGTCCTGCAGCACATGGAGACTGGAGAATGGACACTTCCTCTTACTCGTGTGTGTGTGTATGAACACGGTATTCAAATCCACTTCAGTTAGAACAGTTCCTCACAGGCAACAATAACAATTGAACTGCTTCTGTTATCATACAACCTGCTCCCTTCCTGCTAATCTGCTATGATGGAGTATGATGGACAGGGTTAGGGGGGTTGTTTACCTGTGAGTGAGTGGGCTCTTCTCTCAGCCTTGTCTTGCAGTTTGACATTGGAAACAGAAACTTTGCTCTTCTCTGAGCTCTGGAGCTGCTGTTTTTCCTTTGCCTTGGCCTCCAGGGCTTTTATACTAAGCTGCAGCTGGCTGGTGTACTTCTCATGCTGCACAAAGAGACAGGAGGGAAGCAGGATGTGAGAAACCTTCTGCCAACAATCAGTACAGATGTAACTGTCCTCAGACATATACAGTGTAAGGATGAATATCCATCAAGGACTTCTGCTTAGTCTTATTGTTAGCAGGGTTGTGGTTATTATCGTGAGGCTAAAACGCTGCATATGGGAAGAAAACATTTGACACAGCGCGGTGAGGACACAAAACCAAAGCATTAAAATATTCAAGATAAGCAAAGTGACTTTAAGTGGGGAGTAAACCAGATCTAGTCCAACACTAGTTATCCAATTTGTTTCAACATACCAAGCTCATAATGATGAGTGACAACAGTTGGCACAGGAACCTGACTAAAGTCACGCACACTACATCACATTTCATGCCTCTAACTTAGAAGTTGCATATTGTTTATTTTAGTCCTTTATTCAATTAGTCAATAGACAGGAAATTGACCAACAGAAATATACTACTCATTTAATGTTGTTATCAGTAAAATGTTTTGGGAAAGCCTCTTATAGGTGCTTGCTTTTCTGTTTGTTCCTTGTCAACTAAAGCCCTAGTGTTCTTTATTTACTTTTTGCCAGACAAAGAAAGAACATTTTTAAAGAAAGTGAGCAATTATGATGAGATTTAGTAACTTGCAACGTGCATTTGTAATCATTTCTGGTATTTCAGGGGCGAATTTGAAAAAAATAATCAAATAATCCAAATAATAGAAGAGCACTGCCGTTTATCAACAAGGATCTATAGCAAACATTTCTCCCTACCCTGAAAAAAAAAAGGCACACTGTGCCAGTATTACTTACTTTTAGAGCTTCCTCTGGGACTTTGTGTTGACTCTTCTCGAGGATATAAACATGAGCATGTGCAGGAGGAGTTAAAGTATACAGACATACCTTCAATTTTGGAAAACAATGTAATAATATGTTTATTTATATAATCAGTTTAGTGTCTGATCAGTAAGTGGCACAGGGAGTTCAGTGTATGCAAATCTGCTACCTAAAGTCTGGTAAGTGTGCAGTCAGTGCTCTCTAACTGAATTTCCATTTCATGCCTAGTTTTCACCTTGTCTCCTAAGGAGGTCAAAGTACCTTATTCTACTGCTTACAAGAAGGAAGAAAACAGATAAGCAGCAGAAACCTACTGCAATTCAAACAAATTCATATCTTCAGCGACCCACTCCTTGAAAAATCACATGCCACATACTAGCCACAAACATTCCTAAATGTTTCTGTACTCTCCAGAGCTTTCCCCCGCTGTTATCTTAAGTAAGTTTCACCATTCATGAGTTTTCTGCTCTGGGGGTCAAAGGGTGCAGGAGATTTTCTATCCACAGTTGACCATAATCTAAAACCCCTGACTGAAAAACCACAGGGGATTAACATGCCAATGGAGTGAAAGACCACAGAGGGAAAATAAAATGTAAAAAATTAGTTTAAGTCACCAACTTAAACTGTTCCAACTGAGGAACACAACAACTGTATTTCATGAATCACACACAGTTGAGCCAAACATGTGACTAAAATTTAAGTAAGTCATATGAAAAAGGATATCATAGCCAAAACGAATGACATCAGAGAGCTTGAGGGTGATGTACGTCTGGTCTGGGATTCTTAAGTCGTTCACAAATGTCTGCAAAACAGAGAAAAATAACATCAAGTTCAAATAATTTTCACTGGTCATTAATGAAGTGATGTGTTGACTCGCAGGTGACAGGCTCTCTAATTCCTTATATCACGCACCCACATACTGTAAGGTGCTTTGCAATTGGCCGTTTTCCCACTGAAAGTTAATCCACCAGCACATTAAAACTCTGATGAGATTATCTTGTTATGCAATGGCCGTCTCAGCTTTTGTGGAATGCTTAATGGCCAGGTGGAGGTAAACATATGCAACAATGCTTAGTTTGTTGATCAATTAAGCTATCTTTTGCCTAAACTAACAACTGGTGAGACTAATCATCAGGTTGTTAAATGTAAAACAAAGCTCATGCTGGCAGTGTGCAGAGCAGAGAATGGGAGAGCAGATCTTGTTCTATACGAACTAAATGAAGATAATTGGGGAAAAACTGAGCCATGTTGAATTTCAGTTACAGGTCCTTGCACTGTTCTGCTCTGATTAGTTTGGCTGCAGTTACCAAGGCCAAAAGAAACACTCGCTGAGAACAATGAACGGTTTCTCCCACTGCTCAACTCTGTATTTCATTGGGATAATGGTGCAATGAAGTGGCAACAGAGCAGTGAAGGGAGGGAGGAGGGCTGCAGAGTGAGATAGAAAGAATGGGAAGGGGGAAAAAAAAGGGGAGTCCAGGCCAGCAGGAAAATCGAGTCTCCTGATTACAACTGTTCTACCAACCGTCCGCGTCTCTGGCACACAGAGAGGGGTATTTTGTGCTCTGGGGTTTGTTGTGGACTTGAGCCTTCAGGGAGTCCAGTGGCTGGCTCCTTTATCACTCTGGGTTGAGGCAGGTAGTCTGACACTAGAGATAGACTCACTCACCCCGTTCAAGCTGCCCAGGTCCTTCACCATGTGCTCGTCTGTGTTTGTGTCGTAGTTGATCACCGCGTGCTGTTTGTCCACGCTGCGAGACTGCAACAAAAGCAAAGCAAAGGTCATAATAAAATTAAAGCTGCAAGCAGCGTTGGGCGGGACCTCGCACTCCACGCAACTCGGGGCATGCTGCCACAACACGAAAATTTCACGTAAATCAGCTCAAAATCGCCACGCAGCGCTTACCACCTGTTGCCGGAAGGTGGCGCTATCACTATGTCTTAATATTGTCATGTAGACAAGTTCAGGGCGGGACTGTTGTATCACACGTGAAGTTTCATTGAGATTGGACCACGTACGCTGAAGTTATGAGGACATGTTCAGGGCGAGACTGTTACAGAATATATGAAGTTCACTGGAGATTGGACATTGCACACTGAAGTTATGAGTGGCATTTCATGGCGAATCCGCTGAATTTGACAAGTCGTCACTGGCACGGTCATTTCACGTAACGCAGCACAAAATCGCCATGCAGCGCTTACCACCTGTTGCCAGAAGGTGGCGCTATCACAATGTCTGAATATTGTCATGTAGACAAGTTCAGGTCGGGACTGTTGTAACACACCTTAAGTTTCATTGAGATTGGATCATGTACACTGAAGTTGAGTACTATCTGTTTATGGTGAATGGTCGAAATTCAACGCAACGCCACGGGTACGCCGTTTGACGGAATGTCGTAAATAGCACAACTTTTAATCATGAATGTCTTTAGATTGCGCTGATTAAATTTGAAGTAGATCCGATAAATTCCCTAGGAGGAGTTCGTTCAAATACAACGCGAAAAATCACAGAAAATGACCAAAAAAATCTAAATGGCTGACTTTGATGCCACGCCACGGACTCGCCCTTCAACGTACATGCACAAATAGCACAACCTTTAATCAGCACCATTTTTGGACTGTACTCACAAATTTTGAAGCATATCTGATAAATTCCCTAGGAGGAGTTCGTTCAAATAAAACGCGAAAAGTTTGCTGAAAGTGAAAATGAAAATGAAAATGGCCGACTTCCTGTGGGGTTTGGGGTATGGGTCCAAGAGGCTTTTTTGTACGTCCCCGCATGTTACACGTGCCTACCGAGTTTCGTACATATCGGTGAAACGTGGCGCCGGGGCTTCTGTTTTTTATCCTGTAGGGGGCGCTACACACATGACGAACACGATTTTTGGTATGTGAGCTTCAGGCACTACTCTACACATGCCCTGTGAATTTCATATTAATAACTATTACGGTATTCGCACAGTGATTTACCATGCCAAAGAGCGCCACCTAGTGGCGTATTTTGTTTTTCCTTTTTAAGGGAGCCTCAGGGAGCCAGGGGGAAGCATCATACCAAGTTTCATCTTAATCACACATACCGTTGTAGAGATATAGACTTCTTCATTTTAAAGAGCGCCACCTAGTGGCAATGGCCTGAAAATGTGCACGATGCTTAAGGAAGACATGTGGAACTATGGACCCAAGTTTGGTGTCAATCGGACATACCAATGTGGAGAAATGGTCCACTTCCTTTTTTGACGAAAAATCTACAGGAAGTTGGAATTTTATAGCGTGCTTATTTTTTTAAATTTCAAAAATGTTCAAATTAGCCTTTTTGCCAGGGCGGTCCCCAGGTAGTAGGTGAAAAATTTCGTGTGAATCGGAAAAGCGTGTAGGAGGAACACTTAAAAGTAGTTTATGGACATTTTGCGCTCTAGAAAAAAAAGTTCTAGGCGGAAGTGGGCGGGGCTTATATGGGGAGATTCAGCTCCATTCACCGAACACGTGGATGTAAGTTTTTTGAATGTGCGACAAAGTATGCAGAAGTTATTAGCCTAAACGTATTTTTTATGATAGTAGCGCCACCTAGTGGCAGACCCGAAAGCGACGCATGTAATATCCCCATTTTCACCAGGCCTGATCACTTTGCCAAATAAAATTGGCAAAAATGCAGTCAATGGGGGCTAAAAATAATAATAGGTAAGAAGAAGAAATCGAGCAAAAACAATAGGGACCTCCAGCGGTCGCTGAGGTCCCTAATGATTAGTCAGTCCACAGAAAATAGCAATTATTTTGATAAATGATTGTTTATGTCATATGCAAAAACAAAACACATTCTCTGTTTCTTCTCTCTTTTTTACCACTGCGAACTGAACATTTTGAGTTCTGAAACAAGACATTTAAAGCCATCACCTGGTTTCTGGGAAACTGTGTGGCCATTTTTTGTTACATTCCATGGACTAAATGTCTAATTGAGCAAAGAATCCATAGATTAAATTGATAAAAGAAAATATTGTTATTTGCAGCCCTAAACCTAATCATCATTCCTATAGAAGGATCCTAAATGTCTAAAAGACATTTGAGCAGAGTCAGACTGACCTGTCCCTGCAAAACATACATAAAAGCCTTAAATGTAACACTAATAGCTGGCCCTCATGTACCAAACTCTGCCTGCATAGCTCAGAATCAGACAAAATATGTGTTTACTTCTAAATATGCTTTCACCAATTAAGCGCACTGCAACTGTACAAGTGATTCAGACTGACTCACTCGTTCTTCTCTGCTCATTAGGCACTCTGGGCCTCCTCGTCACAAAAATCACAAAGACTGAAGACTGACTGCCAAACTCATTTGCAAAATTACCACCATCCTCGTATGGTCCATTTACAGGGTTGTCACACACTCTTCCACATCAGCTACTAACTGGGCTAAACAACGTTCAGAGGCTGTATGTACCATCTGTGTTGACCTATTCACTCAGTGGACTTCTTAATAACTTGTAAATACGATACTAAGTAAATGTTTAGCAATTAGTTTACCAACTTGATGACGTTGACTATGCTGCAGCACTAAGAATTCAACGTTCCTAATTCAATGACCCCTACTTTCACTTTGTCCCCCTTTATCGCAGAGAAAATGTTAGCTCTGGCATTAGGAAACAATGACTATACTACTGAACGTGACATAATGCAGTCACTATTATTGCAGGGGGCATATGGTCCAATTACTTTTCATGGAGATACAGACATTGATCAGACACGAGTCGTCATGGAAAGTACAAACATTCAAGTGGAGGCCCCGGGCTTTGCTACTCGATCTGACTTCACTTACACTCTTTTACATGCTTTTCATGCCAAACAGGATTCTCACGTTACAGACATTCAACTGTGGTTTGAATGGGAAAAAAATACACTGAGCTACAAACTGAAAAAACAAAAGATTAAAGGGTTAAAGACAGTTTGGAGTAGAGACTGACTTGTGTGCCAAGCCAGGAAGCAGTCCTGAGCACTTAAACAGAGCAACAGTAAAGTCTGCATCATTTCAGACTGGGAGAAGCTGAGGTTTTTTCCTTGAGCAGGCGACGCCTAAATGCGGACACAAGCAACTTTTCAATCTAACCGACCTCTGTGGTTGGCACGGCTTTTCTGAGCATAACGCTAAGGAAAGTATAAACAACTGCTCCTAAGGCAACATTCCTCTTTCACTGGTCTAAATACACAGTGAGGAGAAAATGGGAGGGAGAGTATTATACAAAAAACCCACAAAGAAATTGTATTTATGACAGACGGTGGATGGAAAAACAACACAGTGGAATGTTTTAGCTTTTAGTTCATTGTTTGAAAGGCTGTCAGGGGCAACATTGTGCGAAGGCAATGTCACCAGGTTGCACACACACGAAGCATGCAAGGAGCCTCCCTCGGGTGTTTCACATATTCACGTGACTAGCCGTCCTGTCAGACATCAGTGAAGAGCAAGAAAACTTTTTGACAGATTACAGTGAAGAGACCAGTTAGGGTTCATGTGACACGTACGCGAGCACACACATTATCCTTCAGGTGTGCTCTTAAAACACACAAAGTCACACACACACACACACACACCTGCAGCATTAGCTCGCAATCGTCCCGGCCAACAAAGATCATCTCCCGTGGCAACCGGTGGCGTGTGCCAGAGCTGCTGACCAGGAACCATGATGTCACACTCATATTGGGGCCACGAGTCAGGATCTTCTTAGCATCCTAGGGGAAAAAAAGACACAAATATTCAGAGAGAACATGGCCAGGAGGGCATATCAGTCAAAGAAACCAGAGGGCTGAAATGCTTGAACAATTGTCATTCAGGAGGCATGATCAAAATTCAATACCTGTGTCCCTGAACAATGCTAGGTGTCCTACAAAAGCAGCTGTTGTGAAAGCATGCTTTAGAGTAGAGATTACTGAGGGGAAGTTACCATATCACCTAGCTAAGTTAGACCTGTTTGTCCAACCAGCTCCGGTCTGGCTATGTTACTATTGAGATAATGCAATTAAATAACCACTCTGAACACTTTTTCTGTGTTGGTGAGTCAGCCAGGTTAGGGACAGACAGGTTTTCCATGCGTCAGTAGAGGAAGATGTGTTCACGAACCTCACAAACGCAGAGCTCTTTATTAAATGAAGCAGATTTTAAACAGTATCTGTTTAATTACTCATGCTGGCAAACCTGTTGCAAAGTGGCGCGTGTGAGTAACGTTAGCTAACAACTCAAACGTCCAGCGCTCACGTTTTTACTTCCTGTAACCTTGGCTACGTTAACATTACAGCCAAAGAAATATTAGACAATAATAACCTCTATATCTCAACTTACTAACGTTACCTAATAATTGTCTCGAAATGGCAGCTCTGATACTATTCACCACGGACTGTTTTAAGTGTCGGTGACGGTGTGGTTGTTTGTAGCTAACGTTGCTGAGCCTCCGGGGGCGACCGAAACAAGCTTTTTCCAACGATTCTGCACCCAACAAGGACGTAACGTTACCTTCAGTGCCTTCTCCGTCTTACTCCTGAGTGAAGCCAGTGTTTGACGTCCTACGGCAGAGGATATTCGACGACCGACATGTACGACAAGGGCGCCAGGTAACACCGGACAGGTAAATTTCGATCACACCCTCTTCTTCCTTTGGGAATGACAACCGGGCGAAACTCTCCAACGCCTCTCCTGCCGACACGGTGACGTCGCCTGACAAGTCCCATCAACCGCTTTGAGTTTGAGCTGAGAGGTGGAGGGAAGTAAGAGCTCTCACTCTGTGGGGTTTCCGGGTGCAGACAAAAGAAATACCCTCAGGGTTAGGGGGAGAAAAGATTGGCACGCCGTCTAGTAGATATTAATTTTTAGTATAATTAAATATAGGTTTACTATGAGTATTGTTTAGCATATTCAAAAATAAAAAAATCAATATGTTTGTATGTTACGAATTGTTTTTGGGGCCTTTTTTTCTCCCCCCTTTTTGCTTAAGTTAAAAATAGAACCGATTATTAACACGTAAGCAGCATTTTAACGTTGTAATAAGTCAAGGGATATCTATTATTAACTTATTGCAGATATAGCTGCCTGTATCAATTAAATGTTGGCCGATATGTAACCAGAAACTGAGGCACAGAAAATGCCCAAATATATTTGAGGTAATTTAGAAATATTAACTCCATTACATAGTCAGTCTAGCAGAGAGCACAAGTTGATGTTTTTTGTCCAAAGGATCCATATCAACATCATGTGTTTATATTGTTAATTATTATTTTTTTAATTATATATTATTATCAGATATTTAAACTCTCAAATATTAATATCGGTATTAGCCTAAAAAATACAGTATCAGCTGAAGATATGGGGATCTATGAGCAGTACTGGTACTAGGGAGATGGGTTTTAAAATGTATGCCGATATATTTTTACATAAACTTCTTTGTGTGGGCTCCAGAAGGAATTTATGCCATTGCTTGGTAAAATAAAATCGCAGATGTAACGCGCATGCGTAGGGATTAGAGGTAATAATAGTTTTAACCTCACGGTGACTCATCTTCTTTTTTGACGATCTTCGCCTCTTTGGCACGACATCACTTTGTTTATCTTGTTTCACGTTTGTAGCTCCAACGGGACAATAGAAAGGAGAATATATCAGTTCAAAGTAAAATAAAAGGATTGCTTTCCTGTGGCAACGAGCTAAAATATAAGTAATAACTGCTTTCTCGGGTTAACAGAGATTTAAATAATGTTAACTTATTGTTGTAAAAAGTGTGTAAAGCGCATGGATCACCAATAAGAACATCCCATTAAAATATCATACCCCAATATAAATTCAACTTGCAGTATGCTGTTTATTCAATCATTTGCTCTTTAGTAATTTGATGTGTGGATACGGAATATTAATCCAACAGAAATACTTTTTACATAAGTGTAATATACGCTAGGTGGCGCTCTAGTTCCAATTTACCGCATTGATCTCCAGCAAAACTTGCATTTTTGCCACAAGGTTAATTCAGGATGTTAAGGGCAATTTAAATGAAGTCACAATGTCTCCTTGTGTTCATATTAGGTATAAAATGTCATCATTCATTCAAAACACACTGGTATTTTGCTCTCAGTGTGTTTGTAGTAGCAGAGGTGGAAGAAGTACTCAGATCTTTTACTTAAAGTAAAGCAGCCAAACCACAATGTAGAAATACAAGTCCTGCATTCAAAATGTTACCTAAGTACAAACATGAGCTTCAAAATATACTTAAATTACAAAAAATAAAATGAGTCATTATGCAGAATATCTCTTTTCAGAATAATGTATATTATTGGATTAAAATTATTGATGCATTTACATTACTTTAAGGTTTCAGCTGGTAAAGGTGGGATTTATTTTTTACGATACAGACTGCAGGTCGTTTGTGAATTTCACCAATGGATCAATATGTATAATATGACATAATTATTTATTTGTTTATTATATTTGATGTCATTAATCTGAATCTGCAAAGTACCAAAGGTATCAAACAAATGTAGTGCAGTAAAAAGTACAATATGTCCCTCTGATATGTAGTGGAGTAGAAGTATAAATAAGCATGAATGGAAATAATCAAGTAGTACTTGTACCTCAAAATTGTACCTCTCTACTTGAGAAAATGTACTTTCCACCAGTGGCAGTAAGTAAAAAAGGAAGAAAATTATTACCTCTAGTTTCCATGTGAGGAAAAGTCCCTCTATAATGTCTTCCCACAACTCTAAAAACAAACTATTTTACGAATAAAAAAGTAATGTACATCTTTTAAAATTCCTCTCTCAGGACGTGTACAGAATTGACCAATGTAGTAACATTACAGTTCAGACACTCAGGATGACAAAATTATAGATAGATTGTAAATATATATGAAGAATATGGATCCAAACAGACCTGAGCCGCAAACAACACACAAAGGGAGAGAGAGGGAGAGAGAAACAAGAGGAGAGGCAGAATCTCCTGGAGGACAAAGATCCAGATCCAAAACATCTGGAATGAGGCACTGGCAGCCAGGGGAGGGAGAGAGGTCCCAGGACGGCAAACTAGGGAGAAGGAGAGAGTGATTCACAGCTTGGACACTCACGTGCTTGTGGGACAGCAAACAAACAGGGTCAGAGAGATGCAGTGGTTTTCAGAAAGTTTACAGTATTTTTTCGTCAGCAGGACAAACACGCACTATAAGTCTAAGGCTTAACAGATTCATTGAGACTGACACCCACAGGAAGGATAATGGTGAAATAATCAGAGCAACTAACTAAAAGTTAAGGCAAAAAGATGAGTTTTAAGTTTGGATTTAGAAGCCCCAACAGAGTCAGACCATCTGATTCCAGCAGGGAGGTTATTCCAGAGAAAAGGGGCACAATAAGAAAAGGCCCTGTAGCCTGCTGACTACTTTATAACTCTGGGGACAGACAGGAGCCCTGTATTCAAGAGTGGAGAGAACAGGAATATAAGGTTCAGGAGATCACACAGATATGAAGGGGTGAGACAATTTATGATTTTGTAAGTCATCAGATCCACCTTAAAGTCCGATCTGATATGGACTGGGAGCCAATGAAGGGAAGCTGAAATTGCTGTAATATAGTCAAATCTTCTAGTTTTAACTAAGATTGCAGCATTCTGCACCATTTGAAGACTTTCCTTGTGCTATGTTTAGGTGGGTTTACCCTCTACTTCACCCCTGCTCTTGTAGTCAACAGGTTGAACCTGTTTCTGACCTCTGTTACACTATAACTCCCCACCCTCATATGAAACAATCCTGTTCTATCATGATCATGACTCCAGTTTCTTCCACCAAGCCCCAGCAGTCAGCAATATAGGACTTTTTCCACCAAAGACATTTTGACATGGTGACCTGTTTAACACTATATTGAATGAGTTTGTGATCATGTAGCAGATCATGTTTTATCTTGTCCTTAGTGCTCCTCTTGCTTTCAATATCTCCTACAGGTTTTTTTTAATGTGTTTTGCTATGGTTGTATGCTCTTGCTGCAGCAGCAGAAGGGTAGTGCAGTCAGTAAGGAGAATGCAAGTGCAAGCATTGTGTGAGGCAGCATGCTGAAGTGTCCATGAACAAGACACTGAGCAGGGCTGTCTATGCAGCTGATCTTAAATTATAAAACTGCTTACAGTGAAGCAGACTTTGAAAAAGTAAAACATTTCTAAAAAGCTACAGTGTGCTACAATGAAAAGAGAAAAGAGACGTTAAATCCTCTTGATTTTGAGTTGTGGCTGGCTTGCAGGCTGTGTGAGTGACACGTTCCCCACACAGCACAGCACTACATCACCCAGGGGATGCCTGTGGCAGAGCTGCAGCCCCGGCTCTGCAGTGTGTTTCGGGCAGCTGGAGTCAGGTGAGGGATGGTTGTCAGGTGAGCGGCACACTGGGCCAAGCCTCGGTCTCACAGTGTGGCGCTGTGTATTGCAGCTGGCCAAAAGACAGACTGTGAGCCCTGGCTGTCAACATCTGCTCCAGAGACTGTACCATCTGCCCGAGGCCCGGGGGGAGCCTCCCATCCGTCTCGGACCAGCTGCAGAGCCCCAGACGTGGACCTGAGTGGTCTTGCAGAGGCAGAGAACACGGCCAAGACACAGTCAGCACTGCTGAGCACTGGGACATTTGTCTCACACATTTAGCCGTGTTTTATCTTTAGGGTGAGATCACAGTGAGGTTTAGATAAACAAACTTCCTGCTCCTGATGACTAATCTTTGAGTGACAGAGTGAAGGTGCAGCCTACTGATATACTGTAGCTTTTGCCACTTAAAGGGACTCCAAAGTCAGATATCCTTTAAAAATCCATGAATCTGAAATAACCATGTGTAAAAAGTGCAATATAAAGAAACCAAGGAGAAAAACAAGGAGAGATGAGAAAGAATATGATCAGTTGCAAATACAAAGACATGGAAGGACGTTCGTGTCAAAAACAATACAGAACTGGACTAGAACATTTTTCCCCCTACTTAATAACTCAACATTGTCATCCCTAACAGTGGGACAGTAGACACAGTAATCAGTACTTCTCAATACGGTTCATTTAGCCAAATATGAGATTAATTATTTCTTAAGTTAATATTTATCTCTTCAAGGGCAGAGCTTTAAGATTTCACAATAAAAGACGAGTCCATATGGGTTATTGTTAAGACCTTTTATTTCATCAATTTGAAAGAAACAAGTAAAAACAGTGTACAAAGTTTATATTATTTGTTTACTAAAGCTGGTGTCCTCAGTCTCAGGAATATGGGAGGGCAGGTACAAAAACAGTTGAAATAAAAAATAAAAAGTATAAAATGAATTTCCCTATTTTCAGAAGGTGACAGCAAAGGGCGAGCGTGCATAGGAATAAGTAACAATCAGATTCAAAAACTGAACAAAGGTTTGCAAATGATTGAAGTGAAAACAATATCATAAGAACCATTACATTCAATAACGTATGACGCACTTTTGAAAAATGATTATCTGTCATCTTAAAAATTCTGAAGCGTTTTTTTTTTTTCTGGAAACTTTTTAGTACACTTTCAAATAAGAGTTTCAGTTCCCAAGAGTCTCAGTTTAGCCTCAGCTGTCTGTAAAAGGGAAGAAATCATTCAAACAAGCAATTCTTGTTTTATTTGTATCCACAACATTTGAATTTACATTATAAAAGAAGCTAATTTAGTCTTTACCAACCATAAAATACAAATAAGAGTCCAAATACAATCATTTTGGGGCAGCAAAGTGCA